TCACTTTAAGAGGGTTTTTCTCTTGTCTCCAGGGAGACCTGTGTGCCAGCTGCTGGAATGTCAGGGAAGCTTCTGCTGTTAGCGTCTGTCTTGGTGGGGCATGCTGGAAATAGCCTGCTTGTGATTTTGCTAAACAAACATTCTCACAATTAAAGCCCCCACCAGGCTATTACAAAATCTCTTCCAAAGAAGAATAACTGCCCTTTTTAACTGAAATCGGTTGGATGGCCCAGCTAGCAGGAGAAGGAGGGTAACCTAACAAAATGGCTTCTCTTTCTGGTAATGTCTGTGGGAGTTCGTTCCTTGTGAGAATGATTTAAACTATCAGTTTTCATCGTGCCACGGTCATTCCAAACCTTGTCATTAACAGTCTGCCTCTTTGCTAAGTGCAGTTCAGTTACCCCTGTTCGTCGTGGGGGGTTTGGCTTTTTTAGGTAATGTGTAATCAATTTACATCAGAGCTGCTTTCCAGGGGGCTGCTCATCAGGAAGTAATGGTTTACTGGCCGTCATGAGAAAAGGGGAAAAACATGCAGTGACCGGGCCGTGGGTCTGCTGAGCTGTTCAGTATGATTGCAGTGTGGGGGTTTCATTGAATTTTGTTTCATTTGAAGTGAGCCTGTTTTTGGTTGCTTCACAGACCCCTCCACCCCATTTGGCAGGTGCCAAGCGGCTAAGCCGTAGATACCTCTGCTATACGCCCGCCAGGGGTCCCCCCCCCCCCCCCACAGACATTCACTATTTCACCGCACCCAGCGGCGTCCCAGGAGGCCATGCAAAGCAAACAAGGCCTGTGTACACACTGCTCCAAAAGGCTTCCTCCCACATGTACTTTCAGTTCTCTGATTCGTGTTTTTTCCCCTTTCATGTTTTGGTCTTTGAGTGCCAGAGTGCACAGAGATGCCGGTATATTAAGGGGTCGAGGGACGGCCCTTGGTGACTGAGGCAGCACGCCGTCCAGCCCCTAGTCCCTCATTTGCACATTCTGTTCTCATCTAAGATGGTTTTAACTTACAACATCACTGATTGATCTGCTGGTACCCCCCCCCCTCCTAAACGAAAGCGAAACAAAAGCCCATTCCTGCCACCTCCACGATAAACCGGCAAACTGAGCAGGTCACTTCTTGGCCGGCGTGGTAGGCAAGGCTGGTGACCAGCTGCCCCACTGAAGATCAGCTAGCCACTGTTTGAGCTTACAGCCCCTGTCTTGTGTTGCTGGTCTGATTTGCCTTAAACTGCTTTCTACAAAAATGTGAATTTAGAAAGAATGGATATTTCAAGGTAATTGTGTATGTGTTGGGAATATGTTTGTGTGGCTCTAGGCGACTGCTGAAGCTTCACACGATTATCTGGATTGTTAGAAGGCATCCTCAGGATTCCCATTTGTCTTGACAGGTCTGACCTGAGGTATCCGGTTACGCCCACGCCAGCTTTGGACCTCTGAGGTGACAGCAGCTGCCACTCACAGGGACGGGGGGGTTTTTGGCTCAGGGGAGTGACCGAGCAGTCGAGGGACGGCCCTGGATGCACCGGGACTGAGGCAGCACGCCGTCCGCCATATCATCGTCATCCCATAGGGCGGCAGCAGGGAGCCGCAAGCCCCCGGTGGAGGAGGCTGGACATGAGCGAGTTTTGGCACAAGATGGGCTGCTGTGTGGTGGCCAAGCCCCCTCCGGTGAGCCTGGAACCTCCTTCTGGCTATTCTTGTTTCTGAGTCCCCAAAATGGCATGTGCGTGTCCGCCACTGTCTAATAAAAGGGTGGCTTTCTCACAGACTCGCCCTATTGTCTCTACAGCAGGTCCCATTAATAAGGGTCTAGCAGATTAATGGAGTCTGGTCCTCAAGCGGATGTTCACATACAGGAAAGGGGACCAGATCAGTCCAGATTTAACACTAATTGCTGTTAGGAATTTCATGTAACCAAGAATCTGCATGCTTAGTGTATTAACAGCCCATTTAGGGAGTTCAGTTATAAAAGCTTGTAGTTCTGTCATGCACGCTAATGTCATTCTGGTTTTTATAGTATGATGTTTTGTACTTCAGCACTGATTCTGGGCTCGTCCAGGGTATCGCCATGTCACTCTGCCTTTTCTCGCACAGCCTGTCCTAGGGAACAGTCCTCCTGTAGCCCAAGCTGCCTCCCAGTGAACCACAATGTGTACCCTTGGCCCCCCAACACCAGCCAGCAGGGGATGTTGAGGGAACTTGTCCCCCCCCCTTGCCACAGCAGGCCTGCCCCCTCTACCTGTGCTCCCTCCCCCAGGGGTGGGCAGCCAGCTGGTCAACAATGAGCAGGGTTCGGGATACAGGAAGTTGGCCAGGCCCCCCCCCCCCCCCCGAAGCCCATCCTCTTATTTTTAGTCCTGTTTGTTCCATTGTGCATGACACAGGAGGCTGAGCTCAGGCTGCCCCTAGTTATCAAGCGCACACACACGCACACTTCCCAGCACATGTGCAGTCTGTTTGGATATGCTCAGAAAGGTGTCTGTGATGCTCCTTTGACCTTGAGGGTCCCTTGTCCTCGTGGCAGTGCTGTCACACCCCATATAAGGTGCCAAGGCTTTGTTCGCACAGGTCATCGTCACCAGATGCTATTACCGACCGACTCTCCTTACCTGGCACCCAAAACTGCTCTTTCAGGCACAGTGAGCTAGGCTCTCATCAGGTATCATGTAAGATTCAGCTGCCTGTATCTTATGCTGTATGTTTAGCTGAAGGCCTCACGGTTTGGTCACCTGCACGATGACCTTGTCCTCAGCGTCTCTGGCTGTGTGTGTCAGTGGGTTAGGCACTAGGCTTGGGCGGTATCCAAATTTTGATACCGTCAAACCATCTCCCTATTTTACCTCGGTATACGGTATTACCGTGAATAATAAAAAAAATTGTGACGTAAGGCTCAGACAGCGTCACCAAACTGTTGGCTTGTGCCTAAACCATTCAGAAACTGAATACCAAACACTAATACTGAAACAATAACAAAATAACATGCAGAACAATATTAACAACTTTTATTAGCAACAAATAGCAGTTTATAAAAGTGCAAATACAACAGTCAAACAGAATTAAATTAACAAACATCCAGAACAGTTTTCGTGCAGAGACGCACACACAAGTCAAATTAAATTACACCGCCTGAACAACTTTTAATAACAAAGAGCAGCTTATAAAAAAGTGCAAATAGACCTACAACAGTCAACCAGAGTTGAATTAACATAAACATATCCATATTATAAAAAGTATTGCAAAGCAATAGTCCTAAACAAAAACTTCTTTCCAGTCTTATTCCCAATTTTTGTTTTTAACGTAAACCAAATAAAAATACCTGAATCAATTAAATAAATCCGTATTTACCGCCTCTCCCATCTCGTTCGGTCGAAACCTGAAATATTGCCAAACTGCAGAAGTTGTGTTCTTTTCCGAGACCAGGTCACTTGGTGCGCGACTCGCCATCTTTCCCCACCTCTCTTTCTCCTCCACGCTGTCACGTGATGACAACCACGCATATACATTTTTAGGCATTAAATAAATTGTATTTAATATTTAATCCTTGTCTCCTATATAAGTGCATTGTTTTTATGACGGTATAACGGTATTGAAACTGATACCGTTGTTATTTTTAGATCCCGCGGTATACCATATTACCGTATTACCGCCCAAGCCTATTAGGCACTGATGTGCCTGTGATAGGAAGGTCATCGGTTCAAATCCCAGGGTCAGCAGAAGGGGTAATTACTCCCTTGGGTTCCTGAGCAAGGCCCCTAACCCCCAAGTTTTATTTTTGTAATAGAAGTGTCTGCTAAGTGAAATGTATATGTAAATAAGCCCCCTTCCCCATGCACTGTGGCACCAATCAGATGCTGCGTGTCCATGCAAGCAGGGAAGGCTGCAGCCGTGTGCTTTCGTCTAATGTTAAATGTTTCCTGTTGGTGTTCGAGCATGCAGATGTAAACACAATCACAAGCATTGATGAAGAATGCCCCCTACCTCTTAAAACTCCTAATTCCCCTCTCTGGACTGCTGCAGCGTAACCTGAAGATGACTGTGTACCTGTGTTTCTTTTATTAGTACTTATTGTATACTGTCAGTTAAACGGGTGTGAACGCTTTCCTCGTTTTCAGAAAAAGAGGAGGAGGAAGATCGACCGCAGCATGATTGGGGAGCCAATGAACTTTGTACACCTGACGCACATCGGCTCTGGGGAGATGACAGAAGGACTGGCCCCGGTAAGCGGAGTCGGACGCTGTCGGGCTGGGTGGGATTCCTAGGGATTCCGGTTCAGATACATATCAATAGTTGAGCCGCAGACCTTAGTGGGTTTTTATAGTGATGGGCAGCCGTGGCCCATGCAGATACGGTGTTAGTGCCAACATGCCCAAGTCATTGACATTTAGGGGGCTGCTTTGCAAGCGTAGCAGGAGACCATACAGTGTCGGGACTGATCTCTGCTCAGAATGCTTTCAGTTACACGTCTTTGTTTGGGATGGAATTCCCCTGGGGGATCGAAGCAGAGCTTGGTTTCAGTGTTTACCTCTCCTGGACCACAATCATGTTTACCTCTCCTGGACCACAATCACTTAGCAGCTAGCATGGTTAGCACTGCAGTTTAACAGTGTAGCTTACAGCACTTCTTTGGGGGAGTTCCTGTGTGTGTGTACCTTCTGTTCCACGTTTTCACATCTATCTATTTAGTTGCTTAGATACCCTTTATCTTATGGATTTCATCCCTGCCCCCGGCCACAACGCTGCATGCCGTTTTAACCTGCAAAACTCTTGCCGTATCTTCTCATAAACAAACAATGGTGAGATGTACAGTGGACTTTTGGCTGAATTCCCCTCCCCCGATGTCTCCCATGGGAATGCACCGGCTCTTTGTTCACCAGCCTATATTTAACCCCGCGCGTGATCTCAGCTCAGTGTCAGTGCTCTGAGAAAAGGCTTCCCTCGAGAGACCTTGGGTCACTTTTTGGCACCCTCCCTCCCCCCATTTTTTTTTTTTTTGTTGGTCCTCCTGCCGCCCCCGTTGCTGCCTTGGCCAGGTCCCCCAGTCTGGAGGCTGCTGATGAGGGCCAGGAAGCCTTGCTCTTAAAATAAATGGCCACACTCCCCTCCCCAGGTCCCGTGGGCTCCAGACACAGCCCGAGAGGCGGGGCTTCTCTGTGGCTTCCGCCCAGCTGTGTCTCAGAGCCCCCTTCTCTGTGCCTGTCAGCCAGTTCCCTGCTGAAACAAGCAGCACCCCCCCCCCCCCACAAAAAGGGATGGGGCAAACCCACAGCATAGCAGCACGGTTACGTAACCGTCTTTGTTCCAGCCCACGTCATGTTACCTGTATCCCTTTCTTTGCCACCTCGCCTCACCTTGCCTCCGCGGGCCGGGCGTGGCCGGTCGAGGCCGCTGTGTGGCTCACTGGGGAACGGGCCAGGTGTGAGCAGGCCGCCCGCACCATCGCCGTGCACCCCACAGTTTATTCAGCATCCAAACACTCTTTGGACTTCAGGTCGAGCCGTGGTCGTGGAAACGGTGGATTGTTTACACCCTCGTGGTGGTGGTCTCACCGCTACTTATGTTGACGTGTGTGGTTTTTTTGCACATTCGTTACGGCTTGTATTTTCATTTTTTAAATTCTATTTATTGTCTTGTCTACTTCTGCCTTGCTCGTATGTATAATTGTATACCTCGTGCTCCCTCAAAAATAGATTCTGATTCTGATTCTGATCCGACGGTACGCCCCCCCCACTCTTGAACCTTACTCCGGGCAGAATCCTG